TGAGGAACTCTCATATTAATATCTAGTGTATCAGAATTAATAGCATTGATTTTGTTGTCGTTTTGTACTTTTAAAGAAATATATTGCTTCCTAGCACGTAAAAAGGTTGAGATTCAATTTAAAATAGTGCATCTGATTCTATATTTTTCCAATACGTTTAATAGTAACTCATGGTTTACACAATCGAATGCTTTACTGAGATTACAAAAGATAGCAGCTGGGCATTCAGATTCCTCGAAAAGGTAAATAATTTTATTGTAAAATGAAAGAATCTGACAACAACGCACCTAAATACCAGTTGAATATCGGCCATATTACATAGTCCCCACTAACAAAATTTCCTAAATATTACAAGCCGTTTCCGAACTGTTTGATTTGAAGCGTTCCATACATTAGTCTCACTCTGTATATACAGTGAGCACGTAAAGATTGGAATAAACTGGATAAAATATTTATTAATCAAGTTAAAAATTACTATGAACGAATTTTGTTTTTTAGATATTTTTGTATACGTATTTTTTTGTGACGTCATTTTTTGAAACATATTATCTTCAGTTTTTTTAAATGGCAGCACAGTTTTTGATATTACCATTTTTTTTTTGCGGTACACTATTTTTCTTTTCCCTTATATCTACATTTTTGCTGAAAACCTCTATCAATCTCTAGTTTTTTATTTTTTTGTTACACCCTAATTTTTTGAATAAAAGTGAATATTAAATTTTATAAATTTTTGCAAAAGTAGATTTTGTAGCTGATTTCTTTTTCTATAATTTAATTTTGTGAACGAGCGTTTTCCTATAATATATTTATATGGAAACTGAAAATATTTCGCATCTATCTGCAGTCATCGGTTAGCAAATATAAGATAAATCTTGTAAAAAATTTAAACTTATATATACATTAATTATAAACATTTAATATAATTTGTTTACAACCTTTATGTGTTCACTGTATGTAATTATAATTATATTCCTAGCTATTGACAATCAATTTTATAATTTAATATCTAAAGGTACTGATGATTTTTACTTTTTTTGGCCTAATTGGACAATACACCAACGATTTCTTTTAAGAAATTTTAGTTGAATGAACTGTTCTAAATATATGACGAACCTTAATAAAGATTTTGATAAAAATTTGTTGTATTATTTACCCAAAATTGTCGTAAACTAACCTTGAATTAGACTCGAATAATATAATTCTAAGGACAAAAGAAAATATACCCAACAAATAATAAATTGCCGGGATATTACTGGCCTTCTGCAGTAATTGAAAGGAAAATGAATGCGACGATTAAAAGATAAAAGCCTACTTTTGGCTTTTGGATACTGTCCCAGCATTATGTTGCTTGATGATGGCCTTATGAAAGGTAAGTAACTGTATTGGGTAAAATCAAGGTAAAAGTCAAAAGGCTTTTAACTGCAGCAGATCCAACTTCAACAGATCCAACTCCAACAGTCCAGGAGGGCTCCGTCTCGCGTTCATAGATGGAGACACCGATGATCGCTTGTTACATTCTCAAAGAGTGGACATGAACTATGAGGTCAGTCTCGCATGGTTGGTATTCATTGTAATTTTTTACCTTTACATATTAATTTAGAATATTTTATAAACAATTTTTCTGAAGAAGACATTTTTTCTGTATTATTATATTATATAGCTGAGTTAAATAAAATGTCCACAATATTCTATATTCAAGTGCCTTCTGTTTTTGTATAGAATTTATAGTTCAAAGAGGCACTATCAAATATCCTGTCTGGTCATGTGGCTGACACATGGCCTTTATTCAGCAGTCAGTATTAATATGGTAAAAGGCCAGCAATTTCCCGTTAACTTCCCATCAATAGGCCCCCCCATTAATTGCCAATATATTTATTTTTAGACATTAAAGGGAAAATGGAGGCCCATTATCTGGATTTAATGGCTAAGTGACTTTGGCCCGACTGTCGGCTATAGTGACCTATATATGCCGGCCTTTTAATTATAAAAGTTAAATGGCCATCATTACAATTGGAGGGTTACAGTTATTGGGCATTTTATTACCCTGCACAAAATGTTTGCTGGGTGGTTTTAAATTTCTCGATTCTGCTACAAAATCGTAAATATACAGGGTACTCCAAAACATTGTAGCAATATAAGCGATATTTCTATTTCAAAAGAAAATGAAGATAATACAGTAGTTATATTTCCAGAGTGTATTAAGATGTGACTGAACTTACAATTTGGACAAGGTAAACTATATTTGAAATATACCATTAAATCTTGTTTGTGTTTATAAAAAAGGTGGCCCCGTTGCTAGGATAATTAGAACACTGCTCAATAAGTTGGGTTTTATCAATAAAAATTTTTTGTAACAGCAACTTTTTTACTATTTGTGTTTTATATACAGGGTGTCATTGAAATAGTGTAAAAAAATTCGGGAGGTGATTGTACTCCTAAAACTAGTAAAAAAAGATCCTATAACTATGGGTCGTTAAATACCTATTAAGGGATTTAGTGGAGTCAAAAGGGCAAACTTGGAAAGTGGTTTTTTTAAAATTGTAAGCTTAAAAAACACGATAAAACTTCGAAAAAAATCCCTGTTGACATAAAATTTACTGCTGAATCCAATGGTAATATAGAAAAATTACTTATTTAATCAGAAAGGGTAGTTCTTGCAAGGGTGAGGGGTCGATTTATGATTAACTTTTTAGGGGTTGATTTTTTTACAAACAACTACCTTTTTTCCATAAAAAAAGTTACTCTTATAGCAAGTCGCTTAAAGCAACCGTTTTCGAGAAAATTGAAGGCAGAATTTGGTAAACCTGTAGTTGAAAAACGAAAAGTAAAATTACTTATTTTTTGATGGGTATCTCACAGATTATTAAACATAAATTTATGAAAATTGTGACGTGTTAAACTAATCAACCTCCCAAAAAACTCAAACACTAAAGAAAAAAATACGGGTACGCAGATCCTGGAGGCGAAGAGCAGGTGTCTGTATTGAAATGAATGGTGGGCACATTGAACATTTACTTTAAATAAAAGAGTCAGACTGATATGATAAAAAAATACGGTACTTTCCATAATAGTAATAAAATATTTTTCACTTTAATTTCTCACTCTTTTATTATTTTAAATAATTTCGGCGCTTCTCTTGTTTGGTAATTCTAAATTGAAATAACCACGCCATAATTTTCATAAATTTATGTTGATTAACCTGTGAGCAACCCATTAAAAAATAAATACATACTTTTTTTTTCAAATACGGGTTCAGTAAAATGTTTGCCTTTAATTTTCTCGAAAACCATTGCTTTAAGCGACTTGCAATAAGAGTACCTTTTTTATGGAAAAAAAGGTAGTAGTTTTTAAAAAATAGACCCATGTTGTAAAAAAATCAACCCCCAAAAAGTTAATCATAAATCGACCCCTTACCCTTGCAAGAACTACCCTTTCTGATTAAATAAGTAATTTTTCGATATTACCATTGGATCCAGCAGTAAATTTTATGTCAGCAGTGACTTTATTCGAAGTATTATCGTGTTTTTTAAGCTTACAATTTCAAAAAAACCACTTTCCAAGTTTGCCCTTTTTACTCCCCTAAATCCCTTGATATGCATTTAACGACCCATAGTTATAGGAACTTTTTTTTACTACTTTTAGGAGTACTATCACCTCCCGAATTTTTTTACACTATTTCAATGACACCCTGTATAAGCAAGTTAGCTTAAATCGACTTATTTTCGACAACAAAAATTGTTGTTAAATTTACTGTACAGGGTGAGCAAATTTCGATATTTTAATAGAAAATCTCGTTAACTATAAATGGTATGGAAAATGGATATCCAATCCTCGATCTCTTATTTTGAAAAAACTTAAAATCGAGTTATAAACACAAATTCGTTTTTTCAAATGTTTATTACATGACATTATCTCGTTTATTTATGAAAGTGGAAAAAATAATTTATACCTTCTTCAGGCACTTTTTTGCTAAGAATCCAGTGGCGTAGTCAATTTTTTTTTAAATTCTTCAAATTCAAGTTATAGCATAAAGTTGTATTTTTTATATGAAACGGTTAGTTAGTTGGCTGTGGCTTACAAAAACAGACAAAATTTTTCATATTCTATCGATATATATTATTGGTTAAATACCGCAAAAAAATGAAAAAAGGCCTAAAGGCCAAACCGTGGACACGTGTTTCTGACTATTGGTCTTCATCAGTATGGTGTAGCCAAGTTCAAAAGAGAATAGAACTAGCGATACAATCAAATCAATAGGAGATCACTCAAGGAGCCAATCACACATTTAAACAAATTTTGGAACAACTAACAAAAAAAATTGATAATGTTGTTTCGGGGGTCAGCTCCACTACGGGTAACGCAGAGTTAATTATTGAATCTTTAGCTAGAAACCTAATCAAGTTTGTACCAGTTTTGGATAATAACGTTACTTTCGATTCGTGGTTTAGAAGGTATGAATATTTGTTCCTTATAGACGGATCTAAGTTAGACGACGTAACTAGAGTGCTATAACTCGAATATGAAGAATTTTTTTTAAAAAATTACTACCCCACTAGATTCTTATCAAAAAAGTACCTGAAGAGGGTATAAATTATTTTCTTCCACTTTCATAAATAGACGAGATAAAGCCACATAATGAAAATTTGAAAAACCAATTTTTGTTTATAATTCGAAAACAAAAGACAATAGCCAATTTTTGAAAATGACATTAAGTTATTCTCAAAAAAAGAGATTGAGGATGAGAGGTCCATTTTTCCATACCATTTATAGTTACATCTTTTTGTTACACCTTGTATAAAGGTTAAAAATGAACGTACTTATTTAAAACATTCTTTATTTCTGCAGCATATTACAATTTTCAAAATCTTAAAATTATTGTCCTTAACTAGTTAAAAAAACTATTACTGCAGCTTATTACAATTTTAAAAATCTTAAAATTATTGTACTTAACTAATTAAAAAAAAAATTCTGCAGCATACTACAATTTTGAAAATCTTAAAACTAGTGTAATTAATGTTTAAAAAAAATTACTTCTGCTGCATATTACAAACTTATAAATCTAGGATACATAAAAGGTATAGTATGTAAATTTTTAGAAAAATTGACAGTTTATGTGTCTAGTAGAGTAAATGCAACTTCTTGCATTATCTGATCTGCCTCATCTTGTAATACCGGATGCTCATATACACCAAGCAAAATACCTGTAAAAAAAAGAAGATAATTTTATGTTAAAAACACTAATTTGAATAGCAACTAATGTACGATAAAAATTAATAAAAATAGAAAACTTTTCATTTTAAAGATTGTTCCAACCTAAATCATTTTCCATTACAGATCAATATAATTTTATATTGGTACTTTACAAAAGGAAGGCTCCTTTTGTAATTTATATTTTTTTCTTTGTAGTTCTTGGGTTTTTAGGTGCTATTGAGAAATTAAACTCGTTTATGTGTGGGTAAAGCTTTCGGCACTGGTCGATGCCTTCTTCAGTAGTTTTTTTTTATTTGTTAATTATTATTTTTTTTTTTTTGCATTAAAGCCTTGTTTTTTTAAAACATCAAAAACAGTTCTTCAAGAAAAAATTGTTTTTTTTATAGGTAACTTTTAATTTTTTAATTGTGTTTTTGGCTTACCTTTAGTAATAATTTTTTTTCCGTAATTTTAATGCACAAGTCGTTTTTGGAATTTTTATTTCTTTCAGGAAAAAAATAAACCAAAGTTGGGAATTTGTTTATAACAAATTGTTAACTTAATAAACAATGGAATTATTAATAAAAAAAATTTTTTTGCTGTCACTTTGTAGAGGACTGTCAATTATGATTTAAAAAAAAAACACATTTCTTAACTAATAATTTAAACAATATATTGCAATAGAAAGAAAATATGTCTCAGCTATTATAATAAAAATAATAATAATAATATAAAAAATTATTATAAGTTATAATAAAATAACACCCGATATCAATATAATAACAAAACTAATAATAATAACCATACTAATATTAATAACAATAAAAATAATAATAATAATAATAATAATAATAATAATAATAAGAAAAGGTTACAACCCTGTATAGTTAAAATTTATAAAAGAAAGTCATAAGTGAAGACTTTAGGAAGTAGGTAAAAAGCATGGGGTCTCTAGGTTGTGGAGAATTATTGATTTGTCAATTTTGAAATTTAGAAAAGAAAAATGTTAGAAAATTATTGAAACAGATTTATCTTTAAAAACATAAAAAGAGGAATAGTAAAGCTGATCTATGGGTTGTACTTAAAATAAACAAATTTGAAATAAAAAATAGGTAAATGTATGAATGGTGCAAAGAAATTGTTCGTAGTTGTGATCCGGAGAGAGACATTTGTATTGAAATGATCAAGAGGAGGAATAAAGCGAAGACACTGAAAATGCTGGTGGAAATAGACAATCTGATCGTACAGTGAGTAGCGTTTAGGAACTAAGTTTGATTTAAATCACAAAATAAATTGTATGAGAGAGGACACTGGTAGTAGTTATATTTTTTGGAGGAAACATTTTAATAGTTTTAAGGTAAGAAAAAAATATTTTATAGCGTTTGCAGGGCAAAAAAAGTATTTTGAAATGTGTTTCAGAAGGTCTAAAATCGTTAAAAAAAAAAAAAAAAGCCCGTTCGACCGTCGGCGGATTTTTCCAAAATTAGTATATAGTATAGTTAGTGTGAATGAAGAATGAATGAAGTTACTCTAGATTTAATAATATAGGATCATCCCCATGCAATGTAAATAGCGGGGTATTTTAAATAATTTGTAATTTTGAGGTTGAGAAGTATTAATGTGTTAAAAAAAAAAAATTTTAAATCTGTTTTTTTTGAAAATTTGTTTATTTAGCATTGAATATACAGGGTAAAAGATAGTCAACTCATAAGTTTTTTTTAAATTTTTATTTTACGTTTCGTATTCTCCAGACCACCATCAACTTTTTTTTTTAAATATGGGCCTGGGTATTTTATAACATTATTTGAAATAACTTTTTATCCTGCATCCAGCGGTGTATTACACAATGGCATTCACTGACAGTTTGTGGGTAATATGGACCGTAATCCAAATTTTATTGGTACGGATAATCTGTATTGAATTTATAATCAGCGTTAATTTTTTCAGTGTATAATACTTCGAAGATAAAGTGATTATAATTAGGAAAAAATAAATGAGAATTAATAATTATTCAATTATTCGACTATTAAAAAGTATGTTTTGATAAGGTAAATGATTAAAAGATATTCTCGATTCAATTTTTGACAATACATACCTACCAAATTTGAAGGCTACCAAATTTGAAGGCAAAATATTATTTTATTACTGGCACAGCAATTGATATGATTTTAAACTAATATCATCTTACTTGTTATAAAATATAGTAGGCCGTGAAAACAATCCATATTACAAGAACTGTCACATTATTATTATGTTATCTTTTATTGCTTTACGAAAATTTCTCATTGTTCAAAAGTTTTTTGTGTGTTTCTTGGTACCTAGTCTAAGTTCAATATGGTAAAATACACTGCAGAAGAAAGACGAGATATGTACGAATTATACATCAAACTGAACAGAAATTCGTTCAGAGCAAAACAAAGGTACGAGGATTTATATCCCGACAGAATGCAACCAAATATAAAAAATTTTCAGCGTTTGTCTACAACTCTTCTCGAACATAATACATTCGATAAAGCTAGAGTTCCGTATGTTCGAAGAAAGGAGCCAGTCAACGATATTAATGTCTTAGCTCAAATTCGAATAAATCCAGAAGTTGGGTCGAGGACTATTGCAGGTGAATGTAACTTATCAAAAAGTGCTGTTAATAAGATAATCAAGAGACACGGATACCATGATTACAAATACCAAGCTGTACAAAAACTATATCGTAATGATCCTGAAAGAAGATTACGATTTTGTAATTGGTTTAAACAAAAGGTAAGAATTAATAACAACTTTGCACACACTATCATTTGGGGAGACGAAACAACATTTACAAATTCTGGTATGTTCAATCGAAGAAATAAACATTTTTATGCCACGGAAAATCCTCACCTAATCCAAGAAGTGAGACATCAATATCGTTTCTCTTTGAATATGTGGTGCGGTTTGTTAAATAATAAATTACTGGGACCATACTTTATTGACGGAAACCTTACTGCAGAAAAATATTTAGATATACTGCAGGATATGTTAGATGATCTTCCTTTAGAGTATCGTCTTAACGAAATCTGGTTCCAACAAGATGGATGTGGTCCACACAATTCAAGAATGGTCACGGATTATTTGAATCAGACTTTTCCCAATTCATGGATTGGAACCAGAGGTCCAGTGGCGTGGCCTGCCAGATCTGAATCCATTAGATTTTTATTTGTGGGGACGTCTCAAAAATAAAGTGTATAATACACCAAATGCAACAATTGAGATTCTCCGCGAAAAGATTGAAGATGCATTGGAAGATATCCAAGAAGAAGAAATAAGCAATAGCATAAGAAATATGAATATCAGAATTGCTAAATGTATTGAAGAAGATGGCAGGCATTTTGAACAATTACTCAATTAATTTTATTGATATTTTCAAATAATTTGATTGACTAACAAAAACTGAATTTCTTTTTGTTATCATTAATTGCGTTTTAAAATTTCTACATTACTATTGTTGTTGTTGATGAATTGTTTAATTTTCGAAAAATTACATAAATTTTGTAAGAATTGATTTTATTTTTTTATCGAGGAGCATGACATGTTGATTCAACTAAAGATGGCTGAAACCAAGCGTAAATTAAATAAAATTTACCCAAAAACCGTCATTGAATGCCATTGTGTAATACACCGCTGGATGCAGGACAAAAAGTTATTTCAAATAATGTTATAAAATATCCAGGTCCATATTTAAAAAAAATAAGTTGAGGGTGGTCTGGAGAATACGAAACGTTGGATGCAAAATATGAAAACGTCAAATCAAAGAAAATTTACTATCAAATAAAAAACCTTTAAAATATTTTTTAGTAGTTCTGAAAATAAATGAACGATAACCAAAAAACCGAAAAGATCGAATTTCCTTTTATCGAAATATCTCAAGATCCGGGCCTGCTATTTTCGATTAATTTTCACCGCTAGATTATGCTTCGAGATAGGCAACTTTTTCTCCATTTAACCGACTTTCCAACTAGTATGATTTGGAAATTACTAATACAATCCCATTAAAAAAGTGGCCACCCTGTATATTTATTTCCACTACCCTTGTCATGTCCGTTGATATGGTATTTTATTTAAAGTAATTTACAAACATTCAAATACAGGCTTGCTCATAAATAGCAAAGAGTAGCAAACAGAATAATGCACACAAAAACTTACTTTTCATTTAAAATCTGGAAGCCGCATTTAAAAATGTGCATTCCTGTTGAAAATATTGAACTTTAAATTTTGTCTAAAATCTCTATGTGTAAATTCGAGTGGCCAGCAGTTTTGTTTAAAATTCTTTTTTTTTTATTATTATTATTAGCCGATCGACTTTAAAATAATTATGTATTATTATTATTATTATTATTATTATTTTAGAAGCCAAAGCTAAAAAATTCCATAGTATGCGGAGTTAACCAGTGACACTATAATTTTCTTGAATTAATGATAAATGTCTATAATATCGTGTGGATTTTTTTTAATCACTGATGGAAAATAAATTAAACAGATATAGATAATTTTAAAATAAATCACTGACCTGATAATCTAAAGTAGTAATAACACATATTGACACTAAACCAATATTAATTAATATTGTTCGATATATATTGGCAAACCTTCTACTTTCATATTCATTAAATTATTTTATGATCGATTTACGAAATTTGTGTACCTAATTTAAAAAAAGTACATACCTTTGAATGATCTGAAACATATTATACCGCCCATTTCATTAACATTTCTGGCTAAAAATGATTTTCCATTATTAGGTTCATGGCTAAAGTATACGTTTCCTGCGAGAAAAAGTTTTGGATAATAAGGTGGTTCAAAAACGCCAAATAAGTTCTCGATGTCTTCTTCACGTATCTAAAAAAAAAAAAAAAATAACCATATAAAAAGTTGATACATATCAAAATATCATGAAAGATCTTTTAAAAAATTAAAAATTAGGCAACAATTTGAAATATTTAAAAAAAAATGAATATAAACATAACACATTTTAAAATAGTCCTTCATCTGACAGCAAAAAGTAGCATGTCGTGCTTTTTGCTTGCTATTTGTTGTTAGGTACACAAGAGGGGTGTAAACATAATGTACTATGTCCCTGTGGTGGGAGCTGTACCCAACTTACAAAGTAGCTTTATAATTTTTAGTTTACAAGACTATTTTATTTTATTTATATTATATTGCTCTTTCTGGAATTCTAATTTGTTGTACTAAAATTGCAGATACCACTATTTTGTTATCTGCAACTAAATTGTTATACAAATTAGTTTTTACAATATTCTTACATGAAAATTATAAAATAGTTTTCACGATTACTATAAAATTGTTATATAAACATTTCAAATAATAAAATTAATTTTCTTTATAGTGATTCTATATTGTTGCTTTGGATCACCTTTACAATTTTTTGGTTATACAAATCAACTGTTTCTTAAGGTCATTCATTTATGTGTCATATTTTAAAATGCTTTTGTTTAGCAGATGAAGCAATATTCCATATTTAATAGTTCTTTTGTTCAACAGATAGCATATTAAATCTATTAATTCTAAACCGTAACTGTTATCAGTAAAACCATTTCATCACCCTGAGCCACTACGCGATTTGTAAACGAGTTCTTGACCTTGGAAAATATTTTGGATGTAGGAGGTAAATAAAAGTTTTGGATTTAGATTCGCGACTTCGGTATATTTATTTAGTACACTTTATTGTTGTGTCCAGTTAACAAAGGACAACGGTCTTAGTATCATTACGTATTGCACTATACAGTTCATCAAATTTCTAGAGGCTTTCGACGGCTAGACAGAGAAAGCACTACTGACAGGCATCCCGACGGATTTACGCAATGAAAGTACACTCTGCGCATCAAGTATTTCACTATTTCATTCAGACGTAAATGTCAGATGTAAATTTCGCTAAAACATTTCTTTTATTTTCGTTTGTGTTTTTTGCTCATTACAGTTTAATAGAACCTAAGTATGGAGTTTAATAGCAAATTAAGAGGCCGCGAGATTAACAGTCAATCTCGCGAAATAATAGCCAATGTTATAGAGTTTATGAGAAGAGAAGGAAACTTTAATTCACCTTCAATACCATTTAAAAATGTAAATGATCGTGTTGCTGCAGCCACAGGAGTATCTAAAAACACTGTCGTCCGCATTTCTGGAGAGAAAAAAAGAATCGATAACCGTGAGATATCGGAATTTTCATCACCAAGAAAAACCATTAAAAAACCAAAAACAGTTAATGATATAGACGAAGCTACACAAGAATCAAATTTTATTTTTTTATTATTAGATAGCTATTTTTGTTTCTGAGTTGTGTTCATTTACAGGCTCAATCTTTTTCCGTTTCCCCTTTTTGATTTTATATGGGGTTTCAAGTTGTTTTTGACTTATTTCGACGTAAATCACAACAACACACTTTTTTAATAAAGCAAACAAGTGTTAAGAGGTATATGTACGTGTAAACTACAATTACAAAAAATTGATATGAAACCACCAACAAAAATGTAAAGCTAGCTTCCGTACTAGAACATGGTGTCATTCGTCGAGATAATTTATCGTTTTGTTTAATAGATCAAGAAATGTAAATATTCCCCTGTTATTTTTTATAAAATTATAAGAGAAATAATTTTTTTTCTAAATAGTATAGTTTATTATTTTGTAGAAAAACAAAATTTCGAAAATTTTAGTAATGTTTCAGAAACAACCGGTATTAATAATAGGTACCATTTTCCTTAATAAGGTAGAAATAAAATATAAACTATTTCCACGATTTACAAAGGCCTACAAAAAAATTATAGGTATTTTCCGCTATCCTATAAAAATTATATTTTCTGACTCAATTTCAAAAGGTTGAAGGAATTCCAAAACACCTTTTATGGCATAATTATTTTCAATTCTACATACTATCTTTAGCTGCTTTTAAAAACGTTCTAAGAAAGTCCAATCAGACCAATGTAATCCCTAAACTATTCCACACTTTTAAAATTTAATTACCTAAAAATATTAAAAACTATTTAAAATAACTTGTTTAGCAGACTGTACAATAGATATCTTAGTCACACGTAGCGCGTTCTCTGTCTGGGCGTCGAACACCTCTAGAAATTTGATGAACTGTACATGGTATTACGTTAAGAATAGGACATACAGTATGTCGCTAATGTATGGAATAAATTCATTATTTCCAAAACTTTTTGGTCGACCCTGTAGAAATAAATATTCAAATAATTACATCGTTGTAAAGACGATTAGAAGACCTTTCCAATGAGGTGTTTTGAGACACATGGTTGCATTTAAAAAAATTGCCGATTACGTCACCACGGTAATATTGGTGACGTAATGTTCGTTACATCTACATCATGTGATGACGATTCAAAAATTAAAATTGACCTGTTTTTTGATTTTTTTCAAAAGTCGATTATTTTAGAAATAATGAATTTATTCCATACATTAGCGACATACTGTAGAACATGAACTGACGATTCTATGATTAAAAATAAGACAACTAAACGAAGCATGCTGAGATAAAATGTTTCTTGTGTCCGAAGTATCCAAATTACCTTTTCCAGTGGCATACAGTATTGGTACGTAATACCGCATCCCTCCTAAATTTTACGCCACTATCTAAAAAGTTATTTGGATATAAAATTTTAATTTTTTTGATGTTTTTTAACTAAATAATGTACTCTTAGAAATATAATAAAAAAAAATCGAAATTTAAAAATTTCAGATTTTCAAAATATATTAAAATAAAAAGTATCCTCTTTTGAGTGCGAATATCTCAAAAACTAACTCAACTTTATTTGAAAAACGTCAAAAGTTTTTGGACAGTGGACTACAATTTAGAAGGGGTGAAGGCGTATGCCACTGGCAAAGCTTATTTAACTGATTTTTTTGTTGATAGGTGTATTTTACTACACCAATAACGTTTGCCGAATTTAGTGAAATTAAACTGAGTAATAAAAAAATTGTAGCTATTTATAATTTTGGATTTTCAACTTTATCCAAGTAGGTGTATAGAGGTATCTGTCATCTATGTACAACAGTGAATAGCTGTACGCGTAAAATTTGTGTATAAAGTGTTTTAAATATGAATAAACAAAGTTCATTTATTAATGAAGAAAGTGATGAAAAAATAGTGAAAGAAAATGAGTGAGTACTCTATGTGCATACATTTTATTATTATCACAAATGCAGTATTTAGTACCTTTTAGCCCAAGAGCCCACTGCAAATTTTTACCGTTATCTGATAACGAAATGAAATATACCCCAAAAATATGGAAAAACATTGTACTTTACCAAATGGCACCTGTGCCAATCCCAATCCTGAACAAAGTAGCTTAAAAAATTATTTTATATTAAAAAATCACATAAGGTATGACAGCGCTAATTTTATAACATTCAAATATATCTTGATACATATCGTAAAAGGGAAACATTTTCTTCCTTTTAACATCGCACAAAAACATCTATCCACGATTAGTAGGAAAAAATTATAAAAAATATGAATCAATTTTTGCTGATTTAAAAATTTATTTGTATGCCTATTGTTGTGATTCAATTTTACAGGTTGCCATAGATATGACAAAAAAACTACTATGATTATGGTTTAAAATAATTGTCTGACAAGAGTTTATAATTATTCTTGACTATCTCTGCAAATGGTTTATACAATGCCATCCTTCTTCCTTTCACACATAAACATGGTTTAAAAGGTAGGTAAAAATAATAATAATAATCCTGGCTTAAAAGCTAGGTTCACAATGAATTAGGATTGTAATTTTCAGGGAAAATACAATTGTTGCTGTCATGTCTTATGTGATTTTTTGAATATAAAATAATTTTAAGCTATTGCATAGCTTTTATCGCGGACTTTGAGTGCGGCGACTGAATGAAGAAATTCCGTAACGACCGTAACGAAAAAAAACCTAACACCCCTTACTCCGACCGGCACAGTGGTGCGGCGTTAAACAATATTAACTTCTCATTTATTCAATAAAAGAAAATCGAAAAATCGAAAAATGGATAAATCGAAAAATCAAAAAATCGAAAAATCGTAAAATCCAAAAATTGAAAAATCGAAAAATCGAAACAAAATTTCCGTAACGAAAATAAACCTAATACCCTTCACTCCGACCGGCTCAGCGGTGCGGCGTTGAAAGCCGTGCATCGTCTAACGTCGTTACAGCCCGGCAGACTTCGGCACGGTGTTTTTGTGCGTGCGACTAGACGTATGCGTGTAGACTAGCTGCTAACTGATTCAATGATAAAAATTCCTGAATAACCTACATGTATTGTAAGATAATAAAAATAGTTTTCTTATCGGTCACCACGCTCAAAAAGTGTAACTTGAATTAATGTCAAAGAAAAAACTTTAATTAATATCAAAGAAAAAAAATTACTTCATAAATAAAATAAATAAATAATTATAATTGCATAAGTTGATAAAAAATGTTATGCAATAGCTTTACCGCGGCAGTCCCCGAGTGCCACAAGTATTTTTTATTTTTAAATTGAAACCCACTTTTTTTATTGTAAATTCGGATTTCTGGGACATTTCTGTATAATAATCGTGTATTGAAAATTTTCTGCCAGCTTTCAAACTGGCCGCCATATTGGATAATATTTTTTCTAAACAAGTTACTATTAATTCGTTTATGAAAAAATATATAGGAATGTAATATTTTTATAAAATCTTTATTATCTTCAAAATTCCCATTGAGACCCATTTACCGTATACCAGTGGCGTATCTAAGCATTTTTAATATTAGCAAACCGTTTATTAATTCCATCCTTTAATATCTTCGTTGTTAATTGATATATCGGAATGAAAACTTTTTTGTTTAAAAGCTTATAACAGATACTTTCATATACTGGATCTAATTGGTCTGTGGCGTCATGGCTTACTTTGGACTTTACCGGATATAAATTAAAATCGCAATTTATTTTTTAATTTAAAATCGAAATGTTTTTTTGTTGAAAAGTTGAATTAAAATTTTACTGACAGCTGTCAAAATGGCCGCCATATTGGATAATACTTTTTCTAAACATGTTACTATTTATTCGTTTATGGAAAAAAATATGGGAATGTATGATCTTTATAAAATCATTGTAAGCTTCAAAATTTCTATTAAGACCCACTTACAGTACACCAGTGGCGTATCTAAGCATTTTTATTATTAGCAAACCGTTTAATAATTCCATCCGCTTTTATCTTCGTTCTAAATTGAAATATTGGAACGAAAACTTTTTTGTTTAAAAGCTTGGAACAAATACTATCATATACTGGATTCAATTGGTCTATGGCGTGTGTTGAAAATTTTCTGTCAGCCGTCAAAATGACCGTTATATTGGATAATATATTTTTTAATATGTTACTGTTTATGGAAAAAAATATGGGCATGTATAACATTTTTGTGAGCTTTAAAATTTCCATTAAGACCCATTTACATTGTACCAATGACGTATCTAAGATTTTTGTTATTGCAAACCGTTTAATAATTTCACCCTCTTATATTCCTTATTGATTGAGAAATCGGAATGACAATTTTTTGTTTGAAAGCTTAGAATGAATAATGTCGGATACTGCTTCAACTGATCTGTGACAACATGGCTTACTTCCGGTTTTTTGAAATTAACAGTAAATCGCAATTTATTTTTTATTTTTAAATGGAAACCCACTTTTTATTGAAAATTTAAATTTCTTGAATGTTTATTATTGTATGGTGGGTATTGTTTTATTATATTGATTCCTTAAATTTTTCTGATGAAATTAAGCTACTTTAAAATTTAAAATAAAAATAAACATTTTTTAAATTTTAAAATCTGTTGTGTGTCGTATTAATTTATTTTTCTGCTACTGTGCGTTAAAGTACGTACCTTATGCGCACTACGGAGTGCATAAAGTTTTACTTTTTTCACTAGTGCGTGTAGTAAAACTTTTTACGCACTAGTGCGTCAACAAGACACAACTTTTAGTATTTTGACATGACAAATTACATTTTATTTCAAACTTTCTTTACGCGTTAGTGCGTAAAGTAACCTTTGTATTTTTAATCTTAGTGGGCAATATGTACGGTAGTAAAAATATCGTATGCAATTCGTATGTAAATGCCTTTTTTGAAGGCCAGTTTATACACTTATTATAAGCATTAATAACTATTTTTTATTTATCAGTAGGTAGTTGACTGATGTAGTGGTTACAAGCGCTGAAATCGTATGAATTCAGTTCGATGATAGATATGCTCAAGAAATATAAATTTTCAATAAAAAAAGCGGGTTTCCATTTAAAAATAAAAAATAAATTGCGATTTACTGTTATTTTCGAAAAATCGGAAGTAAGCCATGACGTCATAGACCAAATGGATCCAGTAAATGAAAGTATCCGTTATAAGCTTTTAAATAAAAAAGTTTTCATTCCGATATCTCAATTAACAACGAAGATAAAAGCGGATGGAATTATTAAACGGTTTGCTATTAATAAAAATCCTTAGATACGCCACTGGTATACGGTAAATGGGTCTCAATGATAATTTTGAACCTACAAAGATTTTATAAAGAACATACATTTCTATATTTTTTTCATAAACGAATTATTAGTAACATGCTTAGAAACAATATTATCCAATATGGCGGCTATTTTGACAGCTGCCAGAAAATTTTTAATACATGATTATTATACAAAAATGTCCCAGAAATTCAAATTTAGAATAAAAAAAGTGGTTTCAATTTAAAAATAAAAAATAAATTGCGATTTCCTGTTATTTCCGGAAAAACCGGAAGTAAGCCATGACGTCACAGAATAATTGTATCCGTTGTAAGGAAGTATTTGTTTCAATCTTTCAAACAAAAAAAAAATATTTCGATATCTCAATGAATAAAGAAAATAAGGAGGAGGTGGAACTTTTAAGTGGCCCGCTTTGTATATTATATATTATTTTTTACTGCTAAATTAGTTTATCGGAAAAAAATTCATGTAGTTTATCGCACCTAGTCAATGTATATGTTAAGTGAAAGAACGCTCTTCTATCTGATTTTTTTTCATATTGAAAAAAAGCAAACTTTGCCTGTTACTCTACAAGATTTCTTGTATTTCTTATATTTTAAGTGATGTATTTTAATTATTTGTAAAGGGCTGTATCAATAAAATCGTTATTATTATTATTTTGTGGTAAAATAACTTCCTAATACCTTTGATTAGCCGCCATATTTAACAAAAATCTAAGACAGTTCTAAAGCTAAATCTACTGTCGGTTTTGTTAGTTTATAAGACAAAACCAATGTTAATTAAAGATTTTATTTCCGACAGGGATATTATAAGCTTATATCGTCATAGTTACGCTATCAATAAAGAGAGTCATAACTCCCTTGGGCCATTATTGATTCTATAATTCCCTCTACCTTATAATCAACGGTACCTGATTCAAATATACCGGGAAGGTAATAAATTGGTACATTTTTCCGTTTTAAAAATGAACAAAATTTTATTGAAATCTTTCAGAAATAAAATTATCTATGTACCACGGGAATTAATGGGCCTTAATAACCTCAGGCAATTGCTGTCCCTCGGGCCAGAGGCCTTCGGGACGCAAACTTTGCCATCGGTAATTAAGGCCCTTATAATTCCCTTGATACATAAATAACTATTTTATAGTAATATTAGCAAAAATCTTATTACTACAAAAAATCGAATTACATAAATTTAATTTTTGTTTCAGGCTGAAAAATTTTTAGAAATATTTATCAAACTCGAGGCGCTTAAAAATGTAATATTTATTGTATATGCTATATAATTAACAGTAATTCTTACTGGGCATCCAAAAACGACTTTATTGTGGGTCATACATTAGGTCTAAACCGCGTTATAGATACCTCTTAGGTAGACACTGCCATTTTACTATTATCGCCTTGAATTTATCTTTTATGACAAATCTAGAATTAATTTATTTTCACCAGATACATTTAAAAAACTAAAAAGTAACGAATTTCAATATGCAACATAACCTCAAAATTGAAAATTTATAAAACCTTTATAAAAGTTTAAAAAAACATTTATTTAAAGTCTGTGTAAATGTGTAGAAACTGTGCAGTAACTGCATTAACAAATCTTATACAATTTACAAAAAAACCAAATAATTCTGTAATACTGCGTCCATTTTGTGATTATTACTGTTGAAAGAATGTTCCGGAAATGTTCCTAGCTAATATTCTGTTTTATATTTTTTTTCTGTAAACATTTTTTCAGCTTTTATAAAATATCAAATTGTTACTTGGGTAAGTGTAACCTGTCACATTCAAAATAATTTTCTTATCAATGGAGTTTTTAGTTTTTTGTTTGCAAGAAAATAATTTGCTTCTAGACATCTATAAGTATAAAAAATCCCCTTTGTAAGCATTTTCTCTCGTCTGATTTTGTTACTATCGATGAAGTGAAATTTCTACACTTTTTTTAAAGAATTAGGTTCTACGACATTCAAAATGGTTCCATTTTTTTACACCAAAGTATTATGGACCCAAAATGAGTACCATTTTTGTGATTTTAACACAAAATATCTTACTTATCCGTGTATACCCCGCATTTTTCTTATTTTTATGATCACTAATAGTAGAAAAAATATTTTTAAATTCGTCGATAATAGTTTTTATATTATACTTACATCAATTCCCATTGATGACCAAACATGATGGTTATTACCAACAAACGCTGCTCCTGTAAAACGTCTGGTTTGTATCAGTCTTTCTATGAAAGGTTGAGTATCTAGCGTTAAAACATTTCCAAAAAACAGGAACCAAAATACAAAAACGACACTTTTTTTGAACATGTTTGAAGACTTAAATTGGACTTTACTGTCAAAGGATAAAACTCGAAAACTACAGCGAATTTAAGAAATAATCGATTTATATACTAGTATTTTTTGGTAGAAGAATTATTGTTCATTGGCGTATCAATAACGTGGTTTTTACAAAAAGATGAAGATTTAAACGGACCATTTTATAACTTCTATAAGTAAAAATACTAGTACTTCTGAACGAAAAGGAAATGAACAAAAACGCAATGAGTGGATAACAGAAGGTTTAATAAAATCAATTAATAAAAGGAACATGATGTACAAAAATTGGACGATCAACAAATTGAACAAGAATTTTTAACTTATAGAACATATTTAAACAATTTAATAAAAATTACCAAAATCAATTACTACAAAAAATAAATGAAAAAAAAAAAATAGTAATTCCGCAAAACACATATGGAAAATAATAAAAACAATGACATCAAATGTAGAGGATATCAAAGGTTAAAAAAAAAATTTTTTACATAAACAACATTATAACTGATGAGTTAGAAATAAATACATTTAATAATTATTATTCAGTTGTAGGGAAAACATATTCTTCCAAAATAACTAAACCTCCAACTGCTTCCCCTCCTAGAAAATACGTAGGAAAGAGCAGTGGCGGCTGGAGGTAATTTGAAATGGGTGTTCACTTTTTCCAATAATTTTATCATTTGTAAGTTCGCATCAAAAGTTTGTACAAGATTCAATATTGCTGTTTTTTTTTTTTATTTGAGTTTGTATTAAGTGTAGTTATTATTATCAACATCATACTATTTTCAAGCACTACAACTATTAATAAATGAATATTTTGGTTAGTGTAATATTTGTTTTGTTTTTAATACGTTGAAAACTATCTATAAACATTATTAGTTAGTAAACTAACTTTTCTTCATAATTTGAGAATATTTTTAAATATATATCAGGTTATGTAGAAACATTGGCATTGATTTTTGTGTAAAAAATTTTATGTAAAACTTTACCTACCATTTTTTAGTTTTTATTGTAAGTTTAATCATATTCATAATTTGTCACAGCTATCAAATAAAAAATATATTTTTTAAATACCTTTTATTGGCAAATAAAATAAGAACTAAAATGTTTTAAATGTTTATTTTATAAGATCAGTCCCATCACAATACACAATATTACACTGGGAAGAATTATATCTTTAGCAGATGACACTGCAATCTTATACAATGCAAAAAGTTGGAATGAAGTTAAAGAAATTGCAGAAGCACATTAACAGTAAATTATAAAAAAACTTTATTTATTCCTTTTACCTGTAAAAAACAATCTTATCCGATTTTAACACATTAAACATCAATAACAGAAATTGTGTAATACTTAGAGCAAAAAAAATAAATATTTAGTTTTTGATCAGCATCTACGGTGGGATGAACATGTCAACAATATTGCTAATTCCTTAAGACCTTTATTATATACAATAAAATATTTATCCCAAATACTTTCTTTAAAACAATTGAAAATGGTCTACTATGCACTTGTAGAAAGTCGACTTTATTATGGTATTTTGGGATAGGGAGGAGTGGCTTAATGTTATCTGAAAACACTAGAAGTTATCCAAAAGCGCCTTTTAAAAATAATATTTAAAAAATAACCTACTTACACGTCTTCTGCACTTTATAAAGATAGTGGAATCTTAGATATTAGGCAAATGTATTTTCTAAGATAAAAATTCAAATAACTATTATTATGTAGAACATAAATATCCTACTAGGTATAAAATTAACTTAAACTTAAAAACTACATTTTCAAGAAAGACAGTTAGCCAGAGAAGTTATATTCATTTACTATCTAGATTATTTAATGCTTTGCCATCTGAACTTAAATTTGGTATTCATTCAATAAATCTGTATATAAAAAAAGTTAAAACATTCTTACTTACTACAGAACGAAAGGAAATTAGAAATCTAATAGATTCACAATAGTAGGATATACAGTTCTGTTCTTCTTTTGTTTTTCTTTTCTTCGATCTTTTGTTGTTATTTTGCTCTTCAATATTTACGTATTTTATCTTGTAACTAAATGTGACGCGAAGCCGTCTCTGTTCATTGTTTATTACCTTACCGGAGAGATCTCTCTGAGACGGCTGAGTCATAGGGAGGGAGTTCACGAACGTTCTGGATCTCCGAGAGTGTTCTGGTACAGAGCTGGCTTTATATAAATAGCGCGTTTGTCGAAAGACGTTAAGTTTTAATTTAAGTGTTGGACAGTAAACACAAATTGTAATAAATAAATTAGAATTGTAAGTTATAATAGTGTCTAAGTATTATATAAATTAATTTGTAAGTTTTAAATAAAGTGTTTTAAATAAATAAACTATTTTTAAATTAAACACACGTTGCATAACTGAAATTATTTCATAAATAAATATTATTTTGATTGATTTTTCTTGCCCTATTTTTGAAATAATTCTAAGATTTGAGAAATTTTCAGTCTTGTTTATATTCACATATTTTATCTAGTAAGGTACATAAACTCTTGGCAAGACTCTAAGAAAATGATAAATTGATAGGTTAGGAACATCAAACTTTTGCAATTTTTCTTAGAAATTTACTCAATAGAATGGGTACTTTTTATTGTTTAATTTTTTTCCAAATTTTGTCGTATTTAAAACGTACCTGACTTCCTTTCAAAATCAAGTCGTTTCTCGTTTCTTTCATGTAATATCTTTGCCCGTGGGGCCATAGTTTAGATAAGGTTGAAACCATCAATTCAACGTTTCTAGAATGTAAGAAAAATAAGTTTGTAATATCTTTATTAATAATTATTATTAGTACAATTCATGTTTATGGATAATATTACATAAAGGGATAAATAAAAAAAAAATGCTGTAAAATTATGTATTTTTTTTATAAATTCTCGGCCTTTCTTATAAAAATCACACAATTCTGAAAAGAAAGTACATTTAAAGTATCTTATTCGCTCCAAAAAGCACCGATACTCTCAACGTCAATATTTACTTTTCATGAAATATAAACTTCCCGCTTTCGATAGACCGGGGAAATAAGTCGAAGACTAAATCTCTTAACCCGCTAGTTGTAAAGTCTCTCTGGAGTACCATAAGCAACTTCCAGAGTTGTAGAGTTGTTCGAGAGTAAAGAGAACGGTGTCTTATGTGAGAGACCGAATTAAACTTACTTTAACTCTACTAAATAAATCGCAAAAAGATGAGTTCAAGTGCACTTCCTTTGTAAAGTGTTATGGATGTTTTGTTGTACTTTAAAAATTAATTTAGATCGATTTTCTTAGGGTCTTATCAATTATGTTTAAAAGTAAAACTAAAACTTTACAAAATATAGAAATTTAGCAATATTTATATTCAAAACCAAGCCTTATAAACAGATTCGTTTTATATGAAATATTTTTACGACCATTTTTTGAAGTTAAGTTGTAAGATTAATTTTTTTTGTAAATCTGTTGTACTCATTACATACAATATACGAAAAAAATATTTATCAAAAAGAGACGTATTATGATTAGATAATAGCAAGATCATTCTACTACGCATAGGTAATTCATTTTTATTAGAAACATTCTTTATCTTATTTCTTAATTAGATGAGAAAATTTTAGCATTTTAGCGTCTCTCGAATTTTAAAAAGTTTCCATTTTGTTTTTACAAAAATATACTTTTGTATAAATTATTATCTGTTAAAAATAAACGTTTTCATTATAAAATAGAATTAACAGTCGTGTTAATTAAGCGTAAATTTTCTATGGCAAAACCCTCTTAGTACAGCACTGTTTAATGATTAGAATTCGTTTTTCTAATTTAACCCGAATTTATTTGTTTTGCAGATAATGCTTAGGTTTTAAACATAATATGAGCTTTGGAATAAAATGACCAAGTAAAAGTGTACAAATTTTACTGTGTTTTTTTATATAAATTGTTTGATATTGCAATTTATTTTGACGTTCATAACGTTTAATATAATTAAAGGATTGATCGACTGACAAGGATGACAGCCTAATTATTTGAGCTTCTGTCTGTAATGATTATTACACTTTGTAGTAGCAATATTTTGGGCATTTCAAAGCCATTAATATTACCGTACATAGTAAATAAGTACGAGAGACACCAAAATAGTTCTTCCCATCTTATTGAGACTGATACCCTCATGGGTAAAGACGATGGAAAATAGTAAGACGATTAACTTTTAGGTTTATGAAGCAATGGCTTAGTGTATTTTCACATTCTAGCTCTGGTTTCCAACAAACATTCTATGGCGGCATTTGTTAAGGGGTTTACAAATTGTTAACAACTTATATCAAAATATTTGGAACCTTTATATATTTGAGTCTGTTTATGTCAACATTTGGACATCTTAATTTTATCCATATAAAAATCTAAGTACTTTTGAGACATCTTTACACTGTACGTCTCCATATTAAAAAATATTTGTCCATTTATTTGCAACCTTCTCCATAACTTTGTTATTTATGATAATAAAAAATACTGCGCATTATATTTTACATAACTATGGATCTTGAAGGTGTGAATTCGTCACTAATTCGTTAGTATTGTCAATCAATGCGATTTGCTGAACGGTAAATGATTTTGAGATAAGTATTGGCGTCTTTACCGATTAGATCGTTGTCACCTGGAACGTCTGTTAGTGCCATCAAGAGCGCATCAGGTGTACAATGGACTTTTTTTATCCACTCATCTTCAAAGTTATACCTTGATAGTTTTTCTTTGAGATGCTGCAATTTTGGATTCTCAATCATGTCCAGTATATAAGGATTTAAAATTGGTAACATAAGCTTGATTTTTTTTTTGCTTCGATTTTTTGTCATTCAGCCAGTCACGTAATGAATATAAATATTATAATGCAAAATAAATGGTAAACAACAACGGCAACAAAAATAATAATCCATCGCAACAAAACCAATCTGTCGCAACAAAACCAGCATATCACGACAAACAAAAATTAAACAGACAATACTTTTCAAAGGAAATAAACAAGGACACTCGTTTTTCGTCCAGGGACTCATCAGGACATTTTT